TGTCCCCATTCCTGTGTCCCTGTCCCCGAGGCAGCGCAGGATTTCGGGGCACATTAAATTATTCCCGTTTATTTGGAAGCAGAGCCTCGGCCGGTACAGTACAAAACTTACAGTAGATCTCGTTAACAACAAATCATTAATTACAATATTTTACAGATACAAAAGCTCCCGGGAAAAAGGGGCCAAAAAAAAAAAAAAAAAAAAAAAAAAAAAAAAAAAAAAAAAAAAAAAAAAAAAAAAAGGGTCCAAACCTCACAAAAGCGGGGGAAAAATGAAAAAAAAAATGAAAAAAAAAAGAGAAATACAACAGCAAATCCGTGAATTGCTCGGGATTTCGGGGGGGTATTGCACATCCTCGTTTGTTCTTCATCTGTCGGGTTTAAAAAATAGATATTTACAGGGTAAAGCCACCTGGAGGTCTTAGAAAATTCCTACAGTTTCGGGTCTGGAAAAAAGGGATGAAAAAGGAAATAAAATGGAAAAGGGGGAGAAAAAAGGGGAGGAAAGGGGGGAAATGGAAAAAAGGGGGAAAAAAGGGGGAAAAGGGAAATAAAGTGGAAAAAGGGGAGAAAAAAGGGGGGGAAAAGGGGGGAAAATGGGAGAAAAAAGGGAAATAAAATGGAAAAGGTGAAATAAAATGGAAAAGGGGAAAAAAGAATTGAAAAAGGGAAAATAAAACTGAAAAGGGGAAAAAAAAGGGGGGAAAAAGGAAAAATGGGAGAAAAAAGGGGGGAAGGGGAGAAAAAGGAAAAAAGGGGGAAAAAGGAAATAAAATTGAAAAGGGGGAGAAAAAAGGGGGGGGAAAGGGGAGGAAAAAAGGAGGGGGAAAAGAAATGGAAAAGGGAGGAAAAAAAAGGAAATAAAATGGAAAAGGGAGAAAAAAAGGAAATAGAAAAGAGGGAAAAAAGTGGAAAAGGGAAGAAAAGAAAATGGGAAAGGGGAAATTGGAAATTGGGGGGAAAGTGGAAAAGAGGGGGAAAAAAGAAAAGGGGAAAAAGAAAACTGAACAGGGAAAAAGAAAATGGAAAAGGGAGGGAAAAAAAAAGGGAAAAGAGGAGGGAAAAATGAAAACAAAAAAGGGGAAAAAAAACCCCAAAACAACCAACCCCAGGGGGGCTGGAAAGGGCAGAGCTTTGATTTGGGTTTCAAAGCCCCTTTTTGGGGTTCAAAGCCCCTTTTTTGGGGTTGAAAACCCTTTTTTGGGGTTCAAAGCCCCTTTTTTGGGTTTCAAAGCCCCTTTTTTGGGGTTCAAAAACCCTTTTTTGGGGTTCAGAAACCCTTTTTTGGGGTTCAAAGCCCCTTTTTTGGGGTTGAAAGCCCCTTTTTTGGGTTCAAAAAGCCCCTTTTTTGGGGTTCCAAGCCCCATTTTTGGGTCGGTTGCAGCGCTGGGGGAGGGGTGGGGGCACCCCCAAAAGGGGGGGTTGGGAACGGGGGACCCCCCCCGAGCGCCGTGGGGGAGGGGAGGGGAGGGGAGAAGGGGGAAAGTCCCCAAATGTCCCCAAATGAGGGCGGGGGGGCAGCGGGCGCTGCTGAGGTGCTCGTGGGTGTCCCCAGCTGGGGACAGCTTTGGTTTGGCCACCGCGGGGGCGTTCGATGCGTCCTGGGCCGGGGGACCCCCAGAGTGGGGGAGAGGGGACCCCCAGAGTGGGGGAGAGGGGTATGGGGACCCCCGAAGTGGGTAAAGCTGGGGACGGGGCAGCTCCCCCCGGGCTGGGGGGGGGTCAGGCTGGGTTTTGGGGGGTCCCCGGGGGGGTTTAGCACCGAATTTTGAGGTTCCTTTAGCCCGGGAACGGGGCCGGGCCGTGCCGGGAGCCGGCGGGAGCGGGGCAAGGGGGGGAACAGTCTCCAAAATTCAAGTGAGACCTTTTTTTGTCTTTTTTTTTTGTGGTTTTTTTTTTGGGTAAAAAAACCCCAAGAATTATCAAAAGAGCAACTCAAAAGCTTAATAAATAACGAGGAAGGGAAAAAAAAAAAGCACAAAAAAAGTCCTTTCCTATTCAATATTTAAATAAGTTCGTTTATAAAAAGGATTGAGGGCTCCCCCTGGGAGGGGCCAGTCGGGTTTTTGGGGTGGGTTTCTGTTTTTTTGGGGTTTTTTTTGTTGTTGTTGTTTTTTTTAAATACTTTTTTGTTTTGTTTTTTCTTGGTTTTTTTATAGCCAAAGTCAGTGCAAAGGAGTATAAAAGGAAAAAAAAAATAAAAATAAAAAAACAACACAACCCAACAGTTCCATGCCCTAAAGATGGGAGGGGGAAAATTGGGGGGAAAAAGGGAAAATTTGAGGTGGGGGGAGGATTTTTCCAACCTCACATTTTGTGCTCGGTGTGCACAACATAAAAGGGGAAATTGGGGGGAAAATGGGAGGAAAAAATCAGGAAAAAAATGGCAATTTGAGGCAGGGAAGATTTTTTTTTCCAACCTCACTGGGAGGGGAAAATTGAGGGGAAAAATGGCAATTTGAGGCAGAGGAGTTTTCCAACCTCCCACACATTTTGTGTTTGGGAGGGGAAAATTGGGATGAAATCAGGAAATTTGAGGCAGGAAAAAAGGAGTTTTTGCCACCTCTTATCTTGTGCTCACCAGGCAGGATGTAGGACAGGAAAATTGGGATGAAATTGGGAAATTGGAGGAAGGAAGGGAGGGATTTTCCCACCTCACATTTTGTGTTTGCTGAGCACAATTTAGGAAGGGAAAATTGGGGTGGAATCAGGAAATTGGAGGCAGGAAAGGGGAGTTTTCCCCACCTCACATTTCGTGTTTGCTGAGCACAATTTAGAAAGGGAAAACTGGGGTGAAATCAGGAAATTTGAGGCAGGAAAGGGGAGTTTTCCCCACCTCACATTTCGTGTTTGCTGAGCACAATTCAGGAGGTGAAAATCGAGGTGAAATCGGGGTGAAATCAGGAAAATGGAGGCAGGAAAGGGGAGTTTTCGCCACCTCACATTTCGTGTTTGCTGAGCACAATTCAGGAGGTGAAAATCGAGGTGAAATCGGGGTGAAATCAGGAAAATGGAGGCAGGAAAGGGGAGTTTTCGCCACCTCACATTTCGTGTTTGCTGAGCACAATTCAGGAGGTGAAAATCGAGGTGAAATCGGGGTGAAATCAGGAAAATGGAGGCAGGAAAGGGGAGTTTTCGCCACCTCACATTTCGTGTTTGCTGAGCACAATTCAGGAGGTGAAAATCGAGGTGAAATCGGGGTGAAATCAGGAAAATGGAGGCAGGAAAGGGGAGTTTTCGCCACCTCACATTTCGTGTTTGCTGAGCACAATTCAGGAGGTGAAAATCGAGGTGAAATCGGGGTGAAATCAGGAAAATGGAGGCAGGAAAGGGACGTTTTCCCCACCTCATATCTTGTGCTCACCACACACGATTTAGGAGGCGGAAATTGGGGTGAAATCAGGGTGAAAATCGGGAAAATGGAGGCAGAAAAGGGACGTTTTTTTCAGGTTGTTTTTACATGACCAGGAAAACAAATGTGCAAAATGTCATGGACAGTAATAACCATGACTGCTTTATGGAAACCCTATAAAATAGTTTTGTTACTAAAAATGATTTTATATATAGATTTTTTTGTTGTTGTTGGTGGTGGTGGGTTTTTTTTGTTGTTGTTGTTTTTTTTAAATACTTTTTTGTTTTGTTTTTTCTTGGTTTTTTTATAGCCAAAGTCAGTGCAAAGGAGTATAAAAGGAAAAAAAAAATAAAAATAAAAAAACAACACAACCCAACAGTTCCATGCCCTAAAGATGGGAGGGGGAAAATTGGGGGGAAAAAGGGAAAATTTGAGGTGGGGGGAGGATTTTTCCAACCTCACATTTTGTGCTCGGTGTGCACAACATAAAAGGGGAAATTGGGGGGAAAATGGGAGGAAAAAATCAGGAAAAAAATGGCAATTTGAGGCAGGGAAGCTTTTTTTTCCAACCTCACTGGGAGGGGAAAATTGAGGGGAAAAATGGCAATTTGAGGCAGAGGAGTTTTCCAACCTCCCACACATTTTGTGTTTGGGAGGGGAAAATTGGGATGAAATCAGGAAATTTGAGGCAGGAAAAAAGGAGTTTTTGCCACCTCTTATCTTGTGCTCACCAGGCAGGATGTAGGACAGGAAAATTGGGATGAAATTGGGAAATTGGAGGAAGGAAGGGAGGGATTTTCCCACCTCACATTTTGTGTTTGCTGAGCACAATTTAGGAAGGGAAAATTGGGGTGGAATCAGGAAATTGGAGGCAGGAAAGGGGAGTTTTCCCCACCTCACATTTCGTGTTTGCTGAGCACAATTTAGAAAGGGAAAACTGGGGTGAAATCAGGAAATTTGAGGCAGGAAAGGGGAGTTTTCCCCACCTCACATTTTGTGTTTGCTGAGCACAATTCAGGAGGTGAAAATCGGGGTGAAATCGGGGTGAAATCAGGAAAATGGAGGCAGGAAAGGGACGTTTTCCCCACCTCATATCTTGTGCTCACCACACACGATTTAGGAGGCGGAAATTGGGGTGAAATCAGGGTGAAAATCGGGAAAATGGAGGCAGAAAAGGGACATTTTCCCCACCTCACATCTTGTGCTCACCACACACGATTCAGGAGGTGAAAATCGGGGTGAAATCGGGGTAAAATCAGGAAAATGGAGGCAGGAAAGGGACGTTTTCCCCACCTCACATTTGGTGCTCACCACGCACAATTTAGAAGGTGGAAATCGGGGTAAAATCAGGAAAATGGAGGCAGGAAAGGGACGTTTTCCCCACCTCACATTTGGTGCTCACCACACACGATTTAGGCGGTGGAAATCGGGGCGAAATCAGGAAAATGGAGGCAGGAAAGGGGCACTTTCCCCACCTCACATCTTGTGCTCACCACGCACGATTTAGGAGGCGAAAATCGGGGTGAAATCGGGGTGAAATCAGGAGACTGGAGGCAGGAAAGGGACATTTTCCCCACCTCACATCTTGTGCTCGCCGCGCACGATGTGCGAGGAGAACTCGTAGCGGTCCTGGCTGCGGTAGCCGCAGATGTTGCACTCGAAAGGGTCCCTGAAGCCGTGGCAGCCCATGTGGATGGTGAACATGACGTGGTCCAGGAAGAGCACGCGGCAGTGCTCGCAGCAGAAGGCCCGCAGCTGCTCGCCCTCCTCGTTGAGCACCCTCAGGGACTCCTTGGGGAAGCAGCGCGCCGCTCCGTCCGGCTCCTCCTTGGGCTCCTCCTTGGCGTAGGCGGGGCTGTGCCGGCTGCTGCCGCCGCCCGCCCGCTCCTCCTGGATGCTCTCGGTGTCCGTGGAGTCCTGGCAGCCGTTGGAAGGCGAAGCCCCGGCGTCGGCGGCGGCGGCGCGGCTGCGGAAGATCACCGGGATGCCCTCGGCGCCGTCCTCGGAGGCGTCGCGGCCCCGCGGCAGCTCGAGGCGGGCGGGCAGCGCCTGGATCTGGGTGTACACGGAGCTGATGACCGGCGTGACCTCGGTGATGCAGTTGGTGGCCAGGCGGAGCGGGCGCAGCGGGTCGCCGGCGCCCAGCAGGGACAGCGGGCCGGCGTAGGGCGGCTCCAGGGCGTGCCCGCGGGCCGGAACCACCTCCACGTCCTTGTCGAAGCCCGGGCTGACATCGAAGGGCAGCTCCGACAGGGCGAAGCGCATCTGCTTCTCGCCTGCGGGGAGAGGGGGCACGCCGCAGTCAGAGACAGGGGCGGGGGCATCCGCGGGGAACCCCAAAATCAGAGAGAGGGGCTGGGGCATCCGCGGGGAACCCCAAAATCACCGGGAGAGGGGCTGGAGGCATCCTCTGGGAACCCCAAAATCACTGAGAGAGGGGCTGGAGGCATCCTCTGGGAACCCCAAAATCAGAGAGAGGGGCTGGGGGCATCCTAAAATCACTGAGAGAGAGGGGCTGGGGATATCCCAAAATCACTGAGAGAGGAGCTGGGGGCATCCTCGGGGCACCCCAAAATCACTGGGAGAGGGGCTGGGGGCATCCTAAAATCACTGAGAAGGGCTGGGGGTATCCTTGTGGCACCCCAAAATCAGAGAGAAGGGCTGGGGGCATCCCAAAATCACTGAGAGAGGGGCTGGGGCATCTTCGGAGCACGCCAAAATCAGAGAGAGGGGCTGGGGGCATCCTAAAATCACTGACAGAGGGGCTGGGGGCATCCGCGGGGAACCCCAAAATCACTGGGAGAGGGGCTGGGGCATCCGCGGGGAACCCCAAAATCAGAGAAAGGGGCTGGGGACACCCTCAGGGCACCCGAAAATCAGAGAGGGGTTGGGGACACCCTCAGGGCACCCTAAAATCACTAAGAGGGGCTGGGGACATCCTCAGGGCACCCAAAATCAGAGAAAGGGGCTGGGGACATCCTCAGGGCCCCCCAAAATCAGAGAGAGGGGCTGGGGACATCCTCAGAGCACCCAAAAATCAGAGAGGGGTTGGGGACACCCTCAGGGCACCCCAAAATCAGAGAGAGGGGCTGGGGACATCCTCAGGGCACCCCAAAATCAGAGAGAGGGGCTGGGGACACCCTCAGGGCACCCCTAAATCAGAGAGAGGGATTGGGTTGGGATGGGGATACCCCAAAATCACTGAAAAGAGATGGGGGACACCCTCAAGGCACCCCAAAATCACTGAGAGGGGTGGGAGACACCCTCAGGACACCCCAAATTCAGAGAGGGGGGTTGGGGTGGGATGAGGACACCCAAATTAGGGATTTTTGAGGGCTTTTTTTTGTTAATTTGAACGGCTTCTTTTAATTTAAGGGGTTAATTTTTATTTTGAGGGCAGACATTTTGATTTTGAGGGGCTTTTCTGTTAATTTGAGGACAGAATTTTTTAATTTGAGAAGTATTTTTCATTTGAGGGTTTTTTTTTTTACAATTTAAGGGGTTTTTTTGTTAATTTTAGGAGGTTTTTTTGCTTATTTGAGGCCCATTTTTAGGGCATTGTGTGAGGGAATTCCCTTTCCTGCCTCACATCTCACAGGGGGGAATTTTCCCAACTTTTCCAGCCCCTTAACCCCAAATTTCTGGGGCTTGGAGCATTTTCTCTGGGTTTTTAGTTAATTTGAGGGGTTTTTTCACTAATTTGCATGTATTTTATAATTTAAAGGCGTTTTCTAAACTGTCAGGGGAAATTTCTTTAATTAAAGCTTTTTAAGAAAACGAGTTGCTTTTCTTTTCACTTGAATTTATATTTTTCAATTTGAGCCTTTTTTTCTGTTAATTTGGGTTTTTTTTTCATTAATTTGTGTGTATTTTTTAATTTAAGGTGTTTTGTATTTTTTTTTTTAGTGTGAGGGAAAATGTCCTTAATTAAAGCTTTTTAAAAAAAACCCCAAATTGTTTTTCTTTAATTTTGAATTTATTTTTTTCAATTTAACCCTTTTTTTGGTTAATTTAAGGTCCATTTTGAGGCTTTTGTGTGGGGATTCCCCTTCCCCCGCCGCTCCCCCCACACACGGCCGCCCCTCACTTCCCGCTGAGGGAATTTTTCCATCTTTCCCATCCTTTCCTTACCCACAAATTTCTGCGGCTTGGAGCGTTTCCTCTGGGTTTTTGTTGATTTGAGGAATTTTTTTGGTTAATTTCCTGCTATTTTTTTTTTTTCACTAATTTGCATGTATTTTATAATTTAAAGGCGTTTTCTAAACTGTCAGGGGAAATTTCTTTAATTAAAGCTTTTTAAGAAAACGAGTTGCTTTTCTTTTCACTTGAATTTATATTTTTCAATTTGAGCCCCTTTTTTTGTTAATTTGAGGGTTTTTTAATTAATTTGTGTGTATTTTTTAATTTAAGGTGTTTTTAATTTTTTTTTAAGTGTGAGGGAAAATGTCCTTAATTAAAGCTTTTTAAAAAAAACCCCAAATTGTTTTTCTTTAATTTTGAATTTATTTTTTTCAATTTAACCCTTTTTTTGGTTAATTTAAGGTCCATTTTGAGGCTTTTGTGTGGGGATTCCCCTTCCCCCGCCGCTCCCCCCACACACGGCCACCCCTCACTTCCCGCTGAGGGAATTTTTCCATATTTCACCCCTTTTCCATCTTTTCCATCTTTTCCATCTTTCCCTTACCCACAAATTTCTGCGGCTTGGAGCGTTTCCTCTGGGTTTTTGTTGATTTGAGGAATTTTTTTTTTTTTGTTAATTTGCTGCTATTTTTTCATTTAAGGGGTTTTTTGAAATGTGAGGGGAAATTTTTTTAAATTTTTTTGTTTGTTTTTAAAATAGATTATTTACTTTTATTTTGAAATTATCGTTTAATTTGAGCCGGTTTTTTGTTAATTTGAGGTCCATTTTGAGGCTTTTTGAGGGGATCCCTTTTTTTGGTTAATTTAAGGTCCATTTTGAGGCTTTTGTGTGGGGATTCCCCTTCCCCCGCCGCTCCCCCCACACACGGCCACCCCTCACTTCCCGCTGAGGGAATTTTTCCATATTTTCCATATTTTCCATCTTTTCCATCTTTTCCATCTTTCCCTTACCCACAAATTTCTGCGGCTTGGAGCGTTTCCTCTGTGTTTTTGTTGATTTGAGGAATTTTTTTGGTTAATTTCCTGCTATTTTTTCATTTAAGGGGGTTTTTGAAATGTGAGGGGAAATTTTTTAAATTATTTTTTTTTAATAGATTATTTACTTTTAATTTGAAATTATCGTTCAATCTGAGCCGGTTTTTTGTTAATTTGAGGTCCATTTTGAGGCTTTTGTGTGGGGATTCCCCTTCCCCCGCCGCTCCCCCCACACATGGCCGCCCCTCACTTCCCGCCGAGGGGATTTTTCCATCTTTCCCATCCTTTCCTTACCCACAAATTTCTGCGGCGTGGAGCGTTTCCTCTTGGTGAAGCTCCCTGCCAGTCGCTCGATGAAGGTGGGGCGCTCAGGGTGCAGCAACGCCTCGGGCACCATATCCAGCTCCCGGATTTCCTCTCCTGCACAACGCAAACAAAGGGGGGGAAAAAAAAAAAAAAAAAAAAAATCCCGACAGCAAAAAAACAGAGGGGGAAAAAAAAAAAAAAAAAAAAAAAAAATCCCGGGATGAGCGGGGCGGGACGGGAGCTGCGGGCTGGGAGGGCCCCTGGGAGCGGCTGCCGGAGGCCGAGCTTACCCCGTGTGTGTCCCCGCGGCGCCGGCAGCCGCTCCCGGATCCCTCCTGCTTCCAGCGGGGCCCGCTCCTGCCGCGGTGAGGGGGGAGAGGAGGCGGCTTCAGGCCTGCGAGCGTTCCGCCAGCCCCGCCATTGCCCCCGGGGAGAGCGGCCGGGGATGGGGCCCGAGCTGGGGGATTGCGGCCGGGGATGGTGACGGAGCCGAAAAACCCTGCTGGGGAACGGGCCCCGAGCCTAAAATGGCTGGTGTGAAATGGCCACGGAGCTGGGGGATTCCGGGCGGGGATGGTCAGTGATGCCGGAAATCCTGCTCTGAAATGGCCCCTGGATGGGGGGATTCCGGTCAGGAATGGGCCTGATCCTAGAAATCCTAGCCTGGAATGATCCCTGATCCTAGAAATCCTGCTCTGAAATGGCCCCTGGATGGGGGGATTCCGGTCAGGAATGGGCCTGATCCTAGAAATCCTGCTCGGGAATGGCCCCTGGATGGGGGGATTCTGGTCAGGAATGGGCCTTGATCCTAAAAATCCCAGCCTGGAATGATCCCTGATCCTAGAAATCCTGCTCTGAAATGGCCCCTGGATGGGGGAATTCCGGTTAGGAATGGGCCCTGGTCCTAAAAATCCTGCTTGGGAATGGGCCCTGATCCTAAAAATCCTGCTCGGGAATGGCCCCTGATCCTAAAAATCCTGCTCGGGAATGGCCCCTGATCCTAAAAATCCTGCTCGGGAATGGCCCCTGATCCTAAAAATCCTAGTCAGGAATGATCCCTCATCCTAAAAATCCTGGTCTGAAATGGCCCCTGGATGGGGGGATTCCTGTCAGGAATGGGCCCTGATCCTAAAAATCCTGCTCGGGAATGACCCTGATCCTAAAAATCCTGCTCGGGAATGGGCCCTGATCCTAGAAATCCTGCTGGGGAATGGCCCCTGGATGGGGGGATTCCAGTCAGGAATGGGCCCTGGTCCTAGAAATCCTGCTCGGGAATGGGCCCTGATCCTAAAAATCCTGGTCGGGAATGGCCCCTGATCCTAGAAATCCTGCTCTGAAATGGCCCCTGGATGGGGGGATTCCGGTCAGGAATGGGCCCTGATCCTAGAAATCCTGCTCTGAAATGGCCCCTGGATGGGGGGATTCCGGTCAGGAATGGGCCCTGATCCTAGAAATCCTGCTCTGAAATTGCCTCTGTGCTCGGGAATTCCAGTCGGGATGGGCCTGATCCTAGAAATCCTGCTCGGGAATGGCCCCTGAGCCTAAAAATCCTGCTTGGGAATGGGCCCTGATCCTAAAAATCCTGGTCTGAAATGGCCCCTGGATGGGGGGATTCCGGTCAGGAATGGGCCTGATCCTAGAAATCCTGCTCGGGAATGGCCCCTGGATGGGGGGATTCTGGTCAGGAATGGGCCTTGATCCTAAAAATCCCAGCCTGGAATGATCCCTGATCCTAGAAATCCTGCTCTGAAATGGCCCCTGGATGGGGGAATTCCGGTTAGGAATGGGCCCTGGTCCTAAAAATCCTGCTTGGGAATGGGCCCTGATCCTAAAAATCCTGCTCGGGAATGGCCCCTGATCCTAAAAATCCTGCTCAGGAATGGCCCCTGAACTGAGGGATTCCAGTCGGGGATGATCACTGATCCTAAAAATCCCAGTCAGGAATGGGCTCTGATCCTAAAAATCTCGGTCTGAAATAGCCCCTGATCCTGGGAATCCCAGTTTGGAATATTCCCAAAAATCCCACTCTGAAATGGCCCCTGATCCTGGGAATCCCAATTTGGAATATTCCCAAAAATCCCACTCTGAAATAGTCCCTGATCCTAAATATCCCGGTGGTTCCAGGGGCCAGGAATGCCCCAATTTTGGCTTTTCCCCAGGAAAATTCAGCCTTGCTGCAGCTCCCGAGGCTGGAAAAGGCTCCGGGAAGTTCTGGGAATGGGGGTTTGGGGTCAGGGATTTGGGATCTGCAGTGGGGGCGTGGACTCACGGCACCGGGAGCACATTCCCAACCCTTCCACCCCTTTGCCATGGATTTGGGATCACATTCCCAACATTCCCACCCCTTTGGCATGGATTTGGGATCACATTCCCAACCCTTCCACCCCTTTGCCATGGATTTGGGATCACATTCCCAACATTCCCACCCCTTTGGCATGGATTTGGGATCACATTCCCAACCCTTCCACCCCTTTGCCATGGATTTGGGATCACATTCCCAACATTCCCACTCCTTTTCCATGGATTTGGGATCACATTCCCACTCCTTTTCCATGGATTTGGGATCATATTCCCAACACTTCCACCCCTTTTCCATGGATTTGGGATCACATTCCCAACATTCCCACTCCTTTTCCATGGATTTGGGATCACATTCCCACTCCTTTTCCATGGATTTGGGATCACATTCCCA